TTTTTTTTAATGTCCGTGTCTAGAACCTTCTGAATTATGAAACCAGCAATATCTTTGATCAGAACCGTTTGCCCATGTCATGAAGGGCATTACTAGTCGTAGATAATTCACGACCGATGTAGTTAGCCAGTAAAGTTATGGCAGGCTGAAACCTTAATTGAATGCATAGATTGCAGTCACTAGACATGTATTATTGTTGTGTTCTGATATTTCTAGGCTGTAAAAATGTAGTCTATATTCATTAATTTCCTTGTGCATCATTTTGGACACGAAATGTTGCATTTTGCTTTGATAAGTAACAAAACGTTTTTTTTCCGGTTGAGAATGAAAAGACAGGGAGGCACGATTTATAACTACTTTAAGAGAAACAGATCAGGCTTAGAGCAGATCAGCAGCCCCGGCAGCCCTCATCCTGGGACTAGTCAGGAAAGTCCGGCAGAATCCAGCCTGTCATCATCGCCAGGTTTGAACATACAGAAGCAGTCACATGTTCAGTTATTTTAAATTATATTTAACATTATTTCAGATGTTCAGTTCAGTCATTTTAAGTTATGTTAAACATTATTATGAATGTTGGTTATTGTTGTATGTTCAGTTTTAGACAATGGTTGTTGATTTTGATCATACTATTAAATAAATATTTTTCTACTATGTAGGTGTGAGAGTGGACCAAGACGATGACAGGTCCCAACCTGGAACCATTACCGAGGAGTGTCAGGCACAACACAGCCCACCATCATCAGGTCAGAGCAAGTCAGAAATGCCAAGTTCAGTCAGTACATTAACATTATTTATTTATATTATTTTCATTGTTATTATTGTTTCACAATATAGTTCCTTCTGAGGAAGGCTCTGAGGCTTCTGAGCAGGACGACGACCCAGACCCAGAGCAACCAGAGCCTGAAGATGTGCTTCCCTGATTGTAGTAGGGAAAACAATTTGTATGCTGGGTGAGTGGGATCTTTGATCTGTGTTTCTGTTATCAGAGAGTTGAAGAATGTACCATATTCATTTTGTGCATAAATAAACTACAAATTGTACTCAAAATTGCAACTTTTGTCTGCTTAGTATGTGGCTACTTAAATATGATTGCAAATTACTGCTTACAAGGTTTATATAAGAAAGGTCAATAAGCCTTAATTAACTTGTAAATTATGCACAAAGATAACCACAGACTAGTTGGCTTTCATCTGTAGCCCCTGGAAGTTTGATGTTGAAAGAAGTGTGGGTGTGTGTGTGGGTGTGTGTGTGTGTGTGTGTGTGTGTGTGTGTGTGTGTGTGTACATATAGAGTATAACACAAGAATGATAAGTCATTACTCATGACATGTCAAAGAAGAACATAAGACAGGACCAACATCTGTAAGTCCATGTAGAAATAAATGATAGTGAATAATAATTTAAACGTGACATGAACAGGTATACAGCACTCGATTGCTTACAGACGGTTGGTGTTTTCTGCTGCGACATTAACGCTAGTGCATAAACTTTGCTATTTTTAAGTATAAACCATTGCCCCCCTAAAATACACTCGGCCACCCCCTTGCTACCCCAAGGATAAAAGTCTAGATCCGCCACTGCTCCTGTGAACCAGTTCCCCAGACGTGAACCAGTACCTGACTCATTTCCATGTGCTTTATCAATAAACTCATTTAAACCTTTTCTCTGTTTCCCGTGGTGTTCTGCATATTGGGCCTCTCTGAACCAATCATGACACTCTATATAATGGGACCATGTTTCTATACTTTAGAAGGTAACTTAAAAAGCTCAAGAGATTCTTTGGGATTTTTAAAGTGAGATCCTATAAAAAGCAAGCTTCATTAGACCAAATTCCCAAATAAATGTATACCTTGTGTAAATCATCTATGTGGTGGCTTAGTGGTGCAAACAGGCTGCAAATACATGAACGAGCTGCAAATAAAAAGTTACTGAGACAAACATATAAAGGAAAAGTGGCGCAAAGAGTCTCTTCTGTCAAACATGTTCTGTTGTTTCTTTCAAACAGGCTGATCACTTGTGCCCCCCCTCCATTGTATAAATAACCATCCAGGCTGAATCTGCTGACTGTTTAAAGGTTCATGAAGCAGTGTTTGTATAAACCTGCGACTGTTTTCAGACAGGAATTATTTTGAGATGTCAGGACTCCAATTTGGTGTTGGCCCATCCGACAGACTGTTAAATCAGCTTATTAGGACTTAAATTACCACGAAGAGGCAGAGACACAATCTCTACAGCAGGGAATATGTTGACCACACATAATGCTTTGAAAAAGACTCACATCAAAGATTTTAACTCTTTTTAAGAAACGTACAAACTGAAAACATCTTTCCCGACAAAATGTCCCATTAAATGTTGTACAGTTATCTGCATGTGTTAAATCACACCAACCCAAATAAGGACAATGTACACAATGTACTATTTATTGACTTAGCTCCTATGAGTGTTTTACACTAAAATTACAAAGTAAGAAATTGTCTACATCCTAGGGCTGGATAATATGGCCAAAAACTTCTAACACAATATTCTTTTTTTAAATTTAGGTGGAAATGGTAGTTATATTGATACAAATAAAACAACCCCCCCGGAAGACTTCCAAGAAGCCAACAATATATTCCTATACATATACGCCTGCCTGTACCAAAAAAAGATAGCTAACTAGGGACGAGCATGTAGGATGGTCTTATGTAAACATATCACCAGGATTATTGACAATTAGGAGGACCGCTTATTTAGATGATCCACTGGAAATAAAAGATCGTCCTCTATACCTTTAAGTCATATTCCAGATATTAAATAAAATAATATTTCCTTAAATTGATATTTACTCATTGTTTCCTAGAAATAAAGCAGTGTACAACAGAGAGCTTATGATTATATATGTTGTATTACTGGGGAACATATAAGCTCAGTTAAAACTAAGAATCGTCATTGAAAAATGTGATTAGAAAAGGTTTCTGTGTTGAAACAAGAATTCCGATTTGTTATTCAGCTTTAGCATGTTTAGCAGCAGTGCTAACGCTTATAATTAACTTGAATATCTTGAATATCTTAATTAAATTTCAATTCAGTTTATTTATATAGCGCCAATTCACAGCACATATCATCTCAAGGCACTTTACTCAATCAATTTTAGAGAAACATTTTAAATGCTAGCCTGTCAGAATTTATTCCAACATTTTAACGCCAAGTTTATTATATTTGATACTTGAGATTTTGAGACCTTTCATTATCAATTTTATATTTTTGTTCTTGAAAAAGCTGACAGATACAATCAGGCCCATGGTTAACCAGAAAATCTATAGTAAATTGTATGGAAATTACTAGTAACTTATCTAATTTAACTTATTAAAAATGTATGTTTTTTTCTTCATTTATCAATGTTTAATGACGACTAGTTAAAAGAAATTTGAATTTTCAGACAATTATTTAATGATTTATGCTCCCAAGGATTAATGTTTTATTGCTCCCAGAAACAGTTTGTTTGAATTCAAACTGTTTTTTGTTAGTGTTTTAACACTGAAGCACTATTAGGATAACCACGATGATGCAATTTAACCAGGAATTCAATGAATTTACTGAAGTGTCATTTATATACAATTATATCTATAAATAATGCACTTGCATTTATACAAAGCAACCTCATTGAATTGTTACCTTGTCAACTGAAACATCATTAGTTCAACTTTTTTATTTTCTTTAGTCCAACTGTTTTTAATGTTCTTTTTTGTTTCTGCATTTTTCCCCCTACTTGCTTTGATTCTGTTTTATTTTCCTATATTTTAATCATGTAAAGCACTTTGCATTGCCTTTGTACTGAATTGTGCTATACAGATAAATTTGCCTTGCCTCGCCTTATGTACCACTTTTGAAAGGAACGCCCTTGTAGTGTTTTGACTCCTCAGTTTGTTTCATTGCATATCTAAACTTAGACAGATTTATTTGTGATTTTGTATACACAGGTGTAAAACAAAAAGACATTTTGTTTAAAACAGCTCTCTGGACAATTTCATTTTTTTTTAAAGTGCAGCCTTGAAAAATAGTAGAAAATATATAAAAACAGTAATAATAAAAACATATGACTGCACATATACAGTTTTAACATTTCAGTTTTTTTTTTTAGCTTAGGATAATCATTTGTACTCTCTTGCTGACTCACATTCTGAGATTTCTCTCATGCTTTGAAGCTCTCCAGAGAGGCTTTAATTGTGTTTTTGATCACACTGAAGGTGGACATAGCTCCAAACTGGCTTAGTTTGACCTTAAATCACAGAAAATCCTACACTTATACAGCATTTAGACTTTCTATGCCTGCTGTAAATAAATTCCAATAAAATGACTGGTTTGGCCCAAATGTAAGGATGGATCAACAAAGTGGTTTCTTGTTAAAAGATAATGTGGGGAAAACTACCTTCATGATGCTTTTAAAGTTTATTGAAGACCAAGGGTTTACTGCTTAGTGTCAACAGCAAAAACTGAAAAATATGAAATTAATTTAAAAGATTGAAGCAAAATGTTTACATTGGTTTAAAAATAATGTTGATTTAGACAATTAATTAAAAAATATATACATTTTGCTCCTGGAATGGTGGACTGACATAGCCAGATCTGCACACACAGGCGGCCCCCCTGCAGTGTCTGTGACAGCTATTGACTTTACTCAATAGATGTTTCCCATTGTGACCCAAGTATAGAGGCTAAATGTCACAGCAGCAGGATTCTGGTCTATTATAGAGCATTATATGTCTCTGAATGGGGATGAGAGGCTAAAATTTGACCTCACAATTGCTCAGCCATTGTCTCTGCTCTCAAAGACTGATGATAATACACTGAGCGTCTCTGCAGCTGCTGCTTCTCTTGACTCCACTGGAGAGCATTTCTTCAAATCCTGGACAGGGTGTTATACTGTGGGCGGGGCCTGGCTATTAGGCGACGCTGCCATTGGTTCTCACGGAGTGTCATCAATGATGCTGCATTCAGCTTTGCTTTTAAATGAAAGTGCAATGAGACCCAACCTGTGGAAACCGCGATGAACAGCTGATCCTTCCATAGTGGATAAACCCTTCCACGATGGTCTCCGTCAGATCATGATGTCTGCTCCTACGCATGGCACTATGTGATTAGTTATTGGACTAACAGAGAAAGGAAGTTATTACAAGAAGAAAGATAATATAAATATATATTATATTGGACCTCAAAATTAAAGATAAGGTGTTTGATTTTCCTTGGATCGGACCGAGCCCACTGTGCGCTGTTCGGTGCGTAACCGACTCTCCATCATGATATTGCCAAGAGCGCTTCTCTTCATTTTGTCTTTCTTTTTGGCTACATTCCTCTGCTACCTGCCTAAAGTCTCAGCGCAGAAGTCTGGATCACGGGTGAGTGGACCCAAGCGTGTCTGCAGACTCGCACTCTGCATATTTTCAGATCATTAACTGGTAAAGCAGTGCGTAAAAGACGCGTTTCCGCTAATATTCATTCAGGTGACTTTTTTTATTTGCCGGTAATTTGAGACGTGATTTATCTTTGTTTTTGTTTTTGTTTTTTTTCTTTACAAAACGTATTAAAAGTGAAGTATAATGGCCCATCATATGATTTTGAACTGGAAAAAAATGAGTCACAAAAACCTCTCTTTTAAAAAATAAATTCATTTACTAGGTGAAAACGATATTATTTTCATTGGATGATGTGTTGGACGACGTTTTAACCCCGAAATCTGTCGCCCTGCGTCTCTTTCTTTAGGTAAGAAATTATCCCACAGCATCACTGGTCCTCCACCGTTCTTAAACCTGGTGTATCCTGTTTTGAGACACATTTATTTCTTGTTTCCATCCAAACCAATGAAGGGTTTCTTAGTCTAATAGAAGCATAAATAGATTAAAATAAGAGTTATTCTAAAATTCTCACTTAGGGTTTTTTCTATTCCGCTTAATTGTTTATTTTAACGCATTTTCTACATCTGTTCGGGCGGTCATTTTTGTAAATTTTTTTATCGGGAGTGGATGATTGCATTATCCACTATACTATTTGGAGTGTTTTTTTTTTTTTAAATATTCTTTTAGTTTTTTGAAACTTTTAGCAGCTGGTAATAAATTCAAGGTCTTTCCAGCCTCAGCCATAACATTAAAGCAGGCTTACCTTGTCGGGTAAAGAAATATGCTCCAGATGCACTTTGAAGGATTTGGAGCTTCAGTTGTTAAAGCTTTATTCAATCATCCTGAACCCGTCTGATTCACACACCCTAAAGGAATTTTTCTGTGCCAATTAGTTTTTGTTTTGGAAGGAAATGGGAGTTCTGAGTTTTTGTCCTGCAGTTTCCTTTAATTTGAAACTGGTTCAAAATCTGTGTAATCCACCAAACCGGCTAATTCTAGACAAGATTTTTCTCCAACATGGTGGATTATAAGGGGACAGCTCTGACCATATATTTCCCTGCTCTTTCTTCCCCCCACCACTCCATCCCTACTCCTGTTCCCTCCTTCTTTTCTCAGACAGATCTTTGTCACTGTTGTGTCTCCTGATCCTGTTTATTCCCCTCTCCCTTCTCATGCACACTGCTTTTCTTGTTCCCCCTCTGTGCTCTTTAGTTCCTTTCCAAATACCCAAGGCACCACCGAAGGCAAAGAGGGAAATACGTGATGCGAACTGGAGAGGACCTGTATTGTTTTGGTTTGCTGATGCACTGTAATATTTGCGGTTGTGGGGGAAGATGACTCATGGCAGGGGGTGAATATGTAATGCCCCCTCACATACTGGAACTATTTCACAACATCTTTGAAACCTCCTTGGGAATCTGCACAATGAATTTAGACTTTATCCATCTATGTTTCTCTTTCTGTAATGGTTTGCTTTGAGTTGTATAATTAGAGCGTCTAAGATGTATTTGATCCTTTTTAGAAGCTTTGGTTGCCCTTAATGTTTTCAGTGTTTTGAAATGAAATCTCATGTTATTGATAACCTGACCGGCCTTCCTGTGATTAGCCGCAACATGCGTTAATGCAAATGAAGCAAAAATAGCTGCCTTCTTCTGATGGTGAGATTCTTTTATGTCCAGCTTTGATAAAGCTTTCTAGAATGCACCTCAGCTAAATCTTAAAAACATAGTTGAGAATAGAGAAAAAAAAAAACTGTTATTAAGAAGGTTGTCACTATAACCATTGGTTGTTATCTCCTGAACTCCTTTTCATTGTAGCCATGCAGGTTAAAAACACACACTCTGATAAAAGGCAAGGTAAATTACAAACCAACTTTGGATTATTCATTCTTTCTTTTTTAGAAATTTCCCTTGAAATTGATGTTATGGCTCACTGCGCAGGGTGGCTTACTGTTTAGGAGAGGCACAAACAGTTATTTGAGTAATTGATTAATCCACTGATTATATCAATAACCTTTAAACTTTTTAAATGCAATGTCAATGCAAGAACCTGTAAGAACAATTTAATTAGATACTTAGAAATACACTTAAGTTCTTTCATAAGAAAGATTTTGTCTTGAATATAAATTGCTTATATATCTTTTACATTTTTGACTTAATTACTGCACGGTAATAAGCAGGTATAATGATTTAGAGTTTGTATACTCCAATTAATTATTATTTGATACCCAAATCAGTTGACATTATACCAATAATCACCTATTTTTATTGATTAAGCCCTAAAACACGTATACCTCATAAGAACGTCAGCATCCAAAATTATGTTTTTTCTTGTTATTTATCTGTTTTTCCATTTCTTTCAGGAAATGGGAAAGCTCTCCTCCTTAATATTTAGACAGTGCAACATGTAAGTAGGTGGTTAGTTAAAAAAAAAAACAATGTTTTATGCAGTTTCACAGTATTTGCAGTAGCATTTTAAAACAAAAAACTACAAAATATTCTCTTGGATCGTAGGAGGCTGTCTGCAAGATCTGGATTCTGTTTATGTTACACAAGTTCAGAAAAGGATCAGACTCATTGCCACGGAGCTCACCTACCAAGGCTATGAGTTGTTTTCCCTGCTTCAACCGGGAGAAATATTCAGGAACATTAGATTTACAAGAAATAGGCTTAAAAACATCTTGTTTCTCAGAACTGTGAGCCTCCCCACCAGACATAAAACAGTAAATTTCCTGACCAACATGTCTTTATAGCAGTGGCGCCTCCAGAAATTTTTCATAGGGGTGGCCAGATGAGGCCACTTAAATTCTTGGGGTGGCACACTGAAGCTAATGGCCATATTTTCAGGATTTTAAGACTTAAATAAACACCTATTGATATATTTTGGGTTATTGTGTGATTTTTAATGTTACTAATGATCTAATGTGCATAGATATAGACCAGGGGTCTGCAACCTGTGGCAAGTGGCTCTTTGGACCTTCCACAGTGGCTCTTAATAACTTTGGCTACACATTATATTTATATTGTGGTAATTAAATGTAATAATGATAATAAATACAGGTTTTAGCAGTTTTTTTTTCTTGGAATAATTGCTATTAATTTTCACAACAGAATGATGGTGAAAGTGCCAGTAATATTTAATTTTAAATAAATATTTTTCCATTATGTTGGAAACTATGATTTATTTTACATCCTTATCCACAAATGTCAGCATCCCATCCATCATCTTTTTTTAAACCTCAAAATAGACATAAAAGGGCGTTTCTTTAACAATGACAACATATTTCCTACAGTAGATCTTTACCTAAAATATAACTTGTCCTTTTTCAAAAGGCCAGGCAACATTTGGGGCTCTGAACAAGTTTAATACAAGTGGACTGAAGGCAAAATGGCTCTTTAGACTGTAAAGGTTGCGGCCCCTGATATAGACCAATAACAGTACAGTTAACATTTTGAGTTGAACAATAATTGCTTTGTATTTTCTAATCACATTAGGAATAAGGTGTTATTTTATTCATTTATTGAAAACTAAATTATACTGGGGAAAAGCAGATACTGGCAGATAAAAATAAGAAATTATATCTTTATTTATGTAACAGGAATTTCCCAACAGGGAACAACGGTCATATAATGATTACAAGGATACAAAAAAAAGATTACAAGAAACACTTATATGTTAACTTATTCTTAATATATGTCCCCATGACAGGTTCTAGGGAAGATGTTTAGTTGTGGCTGCTTGGGCTGTTCTGCTCTTGACTGGGAGATATCTGCAATGAAACAGGAGCAAAAGTCTGTTATTCTGAAATCAAAATGATGACACTAATAATAAATGATAATAATACCAGAATCTCCACCGTAATGAATAATTATAGCTGTATTAATGGCCTACAGGCATTTTGATTCAGAATGAATCAATGAAAACTAACCCATCAACATTTTTCTTTTTAATTAATCAAAATTAATAAAAAAAAAAAACTTTAAGTGAGTCCTTATTGATTTGTGATTTAATGGAAACACAAACAAAACATACATTTCTTTCGAGGATATTACTTTCTAGACAATTCACTAATTTCATTTATTTCATTTTTATGGCCACATGGTCATAACTTCACCTGTTGGTCCAGGAACACCTGCTTTTGCTGAATCCTGCCATGTTTCACTGATCAGTGGTGCTGACTGTTCCTGCTCTGCTGCCTGATGCTTTTCCTCATCACTGTCTACTATCTCTGACTCTGTTTCCTCGTCATGCTGCTCTATCTGTTGCTTCCCTCCATCCACCTCCTCTTTCTCCTCCTTCTCACTCGCTCTCTGTTGATCCCCTGTCATCTCTTTATCTCTTTCCACTGTTATTTTCTTCTTAAAATAAGAAGATATATCTCTGGACTTTCTCTTCATTGTCTGGAAATTGACAAACCATACATAAGCACAAGCTAACAACGTTAGCTACGTAACTCTGTCAAAAAGACACTCAAAGTCGCTGTAACAGGAGCTGATACAGTTCATTTATGCCCCTCTTCTTTTACAAACGAACGATTTGACTTATTTACTTACCGTTAGTCTTGTTCGCTTTCTCTGTGAGTTCTTTTAATCACTGTTGAAGGCGGGCACGCGCTAAACTGTAGCTGTCGGAGAACGCAACTGCTGCTCGATGGGACGGAGTGGGGGCGGGAGGGGGAGAGGGAGGGGAGCGGCTGGTGAGCTACGGTGCGCGAGAAGGTCTAGAAGAGAGGCAGTGTTGCTGGCTCTGCATAATGGGATAAACCTCTAAACTGACGCTACTACCATTTACACTGGCGAGTGGGGTGGCCAGTGGGGTGGCCAGGACATCGCCAGCTGGCCACCCCCTGGTGGCGCCCCTGCTTTATAGGCTGCTCTAACACAACCTGCACTTTATTTGAAAATATCCTCCTACATCCCAATGAACATATTTTCAAACATATTTTTTCAGTTGACGTGCCTTTATCATTTTTATGTGTTTTCTTTTTTATCTTTTACCTCTAAAGTGTTTTAAATTTGTCTGTGTTCTATTTATGTGCATTCTGAGCCAACTTTCCTCATTAAAAATGTAATTAAATATCCAATAACAATTCTGATTCCTATTTTAACTTCTTTTATTGAAAACAGAAAACCACCGCGTATTGTAGCTAGTACTAAAATCACTTGAAATATTCATCATTACTGCCTCAACAAAATATATATATATATATATTTAATATTTCATACCCAAATTAAGAGAAAATACAGAATGAACGTCTTTAAAATCTAGTAATACTTTTTGTGTGCAGAATAATAATAACTTTTTCCATCCTAGACTTCATATTGATGACTGGGCCTCCTTTTGCTTCCATGATATCGGTCATGCAGTCAGAGAGATCTCAAGTTACTGTTAGCACTTTCTTTGATATGTTGTCAAAAAGACTCCAAAAACATGACATATACTTCTGGGATCTTGAAAATGTAGCTATTTGAAATCTTGGACTTTCTTACTGGAAACTGACTGTAGGGATGTAGGTTCACATGTGGGGGCTTAGGTTAGTCATATTGCTAATTTCCTCCAAAGAAAGAAATGTCTGTTTATTGTTGGCAAAAGAGCAAATTTGAGAACAGAATATATGAGTCAAATTACCAAAATGTTATTGTTCACAAAAATACACACAATGTTTTCTTGATGAATCAAATTGTATTTTTTTATAGTAAAGACAAAAAAAGAATAAAAACCTGGCCAGTGAAGAGCCATCTAGTGACACAGCAGTGACTTCCAAAACTGTTTGAGGCTTTCGGTCATGGTCGCTGCAGCGCCAACCTTTTGCGACATGCACATTTCTGATTTGTTTATTGGCATAATTATGTTTAAATTCATGAATAAGCGCATTGCGTTGCTCCACAAGTGCTGGTTTGCAGCTCGAGCCACGTCCTGTCCCCCCCACCTCTGCTGCTCGGTCAGACAGCCCAATCACAGGAACATAGGCTGGGACATTCAATGTTTGCTGTTTACTGCTTGAGTAAGACTCAAACTAACAGCAACAAATCTTCAAAATTGCCAGAATTTTCACTGGTTAGAGCCACTGTTACTTTAAGATGTTCTAATATTTATGTACCGTTTTCAAGTGGTGTCAAAAGAACACAAAGTATAGATTCGGCAGTTTAAAAACACTCTGGTAAAAGTTAAAGTATAAGCTTTACCTCTTTACTCGAGTAAAAGTGAAAAAGTATGTGCTCCAAAAACTACCTAAAGTATAAAAGTATAAAGTAACCTAAAAAAAAAAACAGCCAGATGCCACTTTATGATTTGAAACCTCAATTTTTCGACTATTTCGACAAATTCTTTGAGATGGGCCAAGGATGAGGGAGGTCTTGTTGGTCTCCGTCTCCATCTCCTGATACGCTCTTGCCTGTGTCCAACCTTTCAGACATTTCAATTATTTTTTTCTGAATCCAACATTGTAGCATGGAATCAACAATTCCCATTTTCAGTTTGAAGAACACCTGCTTGCTTCTGAGCATTTCCCTTGGCGTCAGCACAAATTTGACGAATAACTAAGCAATGAGTGTTTGCGTTATATGTCTCATCCAATTACACTAGTTTTCACTAGATGTGGATGGTGCCATCTATCTGCATTGGATGGCGCAAACAAAATAAATATTTATAAACATTAATTCGAAGCCAAGAGTAATGAGTAAAAAATGTAATGAGTAGAAGTCAGAAGTAGGAAGAAAAATAAGTAATGGAGTGAAGTATAGATACCTAAAAAGTGTACTTAAGTACTGTAACAAAGTATTTGTACTTCGTTACTTGAAACCTCTGCCATCTTCATAAAGTTGTTGGAAGGAGCGCTATTGGTCCTGATGTTTGATGATGTTAAATGCCCTTTCTACACAACAACCTTTGATTGGAAAAAGGGCTTGTTTTTTTGTTCCAGTTAGAACATCTACTAACCAGTGTTTTACATATGATCTACATACGCACACCAGGCTAGATGGTTAAAAAACTGTCCTTTAACTGCCACACAACTACTAAGCAGTGTGTTCTTTACAATTCAACAACGTGTGCATGCATAAACACTCCCTGCTTAAAAAGCTGCTAAGCTAAGCATCAGGCTTCAGTATGCTGGCAGGAACTGTTTTCCTGCTTCTCTTGACAATGTAGACAGGGATGTTTTCTAATTTGTGTGACCGAGTGATACGTGTCAAATCTGACCACTTTCAAAAAATAAACCTTACCATTGTGGTGTACCAAATAGTAGAAATTTAGCTAAACTTTTCTTCTTAACATATTTCATTTGTATAGTAGGGTGCTACAAAAACAAAAAAAAATTTTTTTTTGTTTTTTTTTTAAAGAGGACTTTTGCAAGATTTAAGTTGCATTTTCCTATAAGTGCAAGAAGATGTTAAGCATTTTTCTGGACTTTGTTAACAAGTTTTACCCGGCTAATGAGACAGCTGGTGGCGAGTAACCCTGATGGAATGTATTGAAGAATTGGGGATCAAAAATGTCAAATACAGATGCCTATGTATCCCTAATCCTCCTCATCAAATCAACCTGTTAATGTTTGTTAAAAGATGCAACAAACAATCAGTGTGCATACTTTGGTGACAACATCAGTGAGCTCTCATAAAGTCACTGAGAAACTGAGATAAATAACCAGGCTTGGGTGGAAGGGCAGCCAAGAATGCATACTTTCATGTTAGGAGAGTAGAGCCGCAGTTCAGCAGGAAAGCCTTTTTTATTATCGTAATGTAGATCACAGCCTTGCAGGTGTGAAATGCCTGCATCTGTGTCCTAATGGATGTACAGTGTGTGAATATGGTCAGCCGGAGACTCTAATTAGGCTCAGAGCTCTTGTTTTCTATAAAAAAGGCCAAACAAAGATGTGCACATAAGTGAGAGGTTAAAGTTATTCTGAATTGAAAACAATAGTTAAAATATGTCCCCTTTCCAAACTTTACTTTTATAAAGCTTTGATTTGCTCATATAGATTTAAGTAGATTCTGAATATTTATTGTAAAATGTTATTAGAAGAATTTTACATTAGCAATTAGTGCCATTAACACCAATAGCCGGGCTACCTATAAAAGTCAATATCTGTGTATGTTGAACACAGAATAAAGGCCCATCCCTGAAGTCTGAGATTTCCAAAAAGGTGCCAAAATTTCTATATTTACAGACCTTCCTTTTCTGGTATCTGTTGAAATCAACTATAGGGTTTTTTTCTTTCCTTTTTATGTCTGGAAAAATTCAGATATGAAACAACTAAAACAATATGACATTTCGAAATGATCAGCACCTGCCAATGTTTAGCTCTCCTTTGAAGAAGCCTATTTGAATGGTTGATGTCCCTCTGTAGAAAAGCATGAGAGACAACTTTTTCCTTTCTATTACTACTCTTTTAAACACGTCACTGGTAGTTTAGTAGCTTTAGGGTCATCCCCTTGCAGTAACAAATTCAACACTGAAGAGTGTTCAGGTGTTCGGGATACCTGGTAGCATCTCATTTATAGTGTTGACTGATCAGAAAGTTGTTCTTTTTCTGAGTGTTTGATTAATTGGTCAGGTGTAACAGAAAGTTAGTAGTTTTATCTCTAGAAATATATTTATGGCCTGATTGTCTGAGAACTGAGTTCAATAGTTGTGAATCTTGAGTGACTTTAATGCAGTAGGAACTACGGAGTATTTTCAACCAATATGTTTTATTTTGAGGGTTTGTTTTTTCAGGACCCGGAAAGCTTGCTTGTCCAGAGTGTGTTAAATGCAGGACTTAACTGTTACATTACTGTGAAAAGGGGCTTACTTCTATTTGCATATATAAATATGGGTGGTGTCTTCAACTCTATTTTATCTTGTTAATGTAATGAGACTTAAATGATGTGCATCTCTGATTTGAAAATTGTGTTAAATTGCTCTTATACTGCAAATGCAACTCATTGCCTAGCCGTAGTAGGGTTAGGCAATGGGGGTTGGATTCCAGTTTCCTTCTTCCCAGAGGCAGACTGGCCATAGGGAAGGCATTATTATGAGGGGCATCATCAAATGAAAAATCTAATAAAAAAACCCCCAAACATTTCCAGTTTACTTCCGCCGCAAAGCTAACTCCGCTATGTATTTCCGGTTGAGGTTTTCTCTGATTTTACATGTGATAGTAGGGAGCTCATGCAGGTGGAAACAGCACAACTCTTTTATGACTTAATATAACCCTATAAAGAGTTGCTGTCTTCAATCACAACTCAGATCGCAAACCATTACATCTCAAGCTCTCTAAAGACACTTCTGGGAGTTGTTACTGTAGCAAAACCAACAAAAATGTTGGCCCTGTAGGTCTGGATTAGGAACTTGTCTATAAGTGAGATTGTTTTGAGCACCGATACAGAATCTACTCCGTTAACCGTCCATCCTGCAACCTTACAAGGACAAGCCAGCATAGACTAAGGCTGTACAGTGTTTAAGTCTACTGATAGTGTAAATATCATACATACATAAGCTAAAGACAAATATTAATTGTACATGTGGTTAATTTGGTGGAAACAATTTTTTACTATTTCTGACATTCAGTGGTTTTTATATTTTTGTCCTAAACTAAATCTTCAGGATAATCTGTGAAGGTACCTAAAGATAAATGAGATGGGGTTTATCCTATCTCAAATAAAACCTATAAATGCAAACATCCAACAATCTGTCAGGTTTATTTTCTGTATTGCCAAAACAAGAGTTTTCTAATAATTATTTTCAAAATGTGTTCTGAATTTTTTACCTAACATTTCTTATTAAAATAGAAGTGACAAACTTTAGGAGCAATATCAGACCA